TATCCTTCATCCTGTTTGCACTGGTCATCCTGGGAAACACTACATATGGTCTGAGTGTGCTGCTGAAGAACCCTGATGATGGACAAGGAGAGCGGAGCTACGTCATCCATCACCTCCCTTGGCTCATTGGGAGTCTCGGCACTCTCTCTTTAGACGTTATCGTATCCTTGAAAGAACATGTTCGTTTTTTTAATGCATGGCTGGTGCTGTTTCTAGGTGGTGTAGTTGTAGATCCCACGTATGTGCTACATTTTAGTCAATGCTGAGCTGTGACAGAGGGCTGAGAAGGCAGGTCATCGGCTGGGGTAAGTTCTCGTGATTGTCTCCAACTGAAACCTGTCCAGTCAGCTCAGAAGGTTAAGGCTACATCAGTGACCCCTGGAGGCCATGTCTCTCTTTGTAAACCAATGTTGACCTACACCAATAGCGAGTTCTCAAAATGATATTATGAATTATACATTAATGATATATATTATATTTTAAAAACCCCAGGGCAGTCGATTGATCAAACCTTAATCTGATTAATTACAGGGTATGTGTTGATTAGTCATGACTGCAATTCATCATGACTAATCATGATGAATTAAGGTAAATTCCTAAATATGAAAACATTTTTTCCGGTATATTGCTAGAACAGAAGGACTAACTAAGGTGAAGTGAAGAAAAACAGATTAGGCAAAACAAATAATTATTAATCTCTTGTGACAGGTCAAAGGTGGAGTGTGGGGAGTTCCCGGCCACTTCTTGAGAACCTGTTTTGAAATTTCTTTCCCCAAGACTTTCTGTTGATTTCCTTGACCCAGTGACTCAGATCACCATGCAGTTTGTAAGGTACCGCAAAGCTCCGAGGCAGGAGGAAGGCGATCACAGTGAGACAAGGCCTCTGATCGGGAGCTGAACCAATTCAGGCTGAACCAGTGGGACGTGAGCACTCGCTCACAGGAGACTCTCAGCATCACATTTAAAAATACAGAACCGACATGGACGATGGTTTAGTTAAATTTTTTTTAAGTTTTATTTATTATGCTCTTTTATTAGAATGTGTACAATATGTTTTTAGAATACAACATATGTAATTCTTTCTAGAATGCAACAATGTGAAACAAGCTGCTCTCAAAACGGGTGCTCCTCAAAATGTCAGTCCTCGACCTAATTATGAATGTTTAAGTTTTGATACCACAGAAGGTGTATCGTTTATTACAGTAGAAGCAACAGTTATCTGAATGATTGCTTACTTCAATGTTCTATTACTTTATTTTTTGTTTATAAGACCAATAGTGGTACAAGCTAAGTCTCTGATAGAGGGGAACTAACCATAATTTAAAATAATTATGGTATAATATTTCCTCAGAGATTTACTTTACGTGTTTTCACTGTAGTTTCCTTTAAAGGACCATTAATTGTCTTTTTATGAAGTTTTAGAAAATTTGACATTTAAAATATCTTCATATTTTAAAATCTTTACATTTCCTCAAAAATATTAGTAAAACTGTAAAATAACGTCTGATCTTGTAACGTTTGACCTTTTGGTGTTTTTACAAGATTTCCCTTTTTTGGGGGTTCTCATTCTTTTTTTAGATTGTAAAATAAAAAAGAAAGTGTAAATATGTGTAAACCAAGTACAGCAATCAAAAAATATTTGAGCATGTTCTTTTTTCCATTTATTTACTCTTTGTAATCATAATAATCTTCCTTTTTTTTTTCTCATACACGTGATCATTTTGTTTGCACTGGTGACAAAAGTTCCAGGACTTGACACAAACGTTCACAACTGTGTCCACTGAACAAACTTTCACTTTCACTATTGTTTTTTTGTTGCACATTTTTCAGCCAACGGTTTGTTTTTTGTACTTTGGGAAATGTGAAATATGTAATTGGTGGGTCAGTGTACTGTAAACATTAAAGATAGGACAACAAACACTTCAAGTCTGTGTTAAGTTTTGACTCAGACATTTTTAGGCTCAGCTCTAAGTTTCTCTATTTTCACAGGGTTCATACAGTCACGAAAAAAGTTTTGGAAATTTTTTAAGGTCCTTGAATAATGAAAAAACAAACCCGTGAAGTTTTGAGTCATGAAAATATTGCGTGGATATTATATTGGATGCGTAAAAAACAAATAACGATGAAGTCATTGAAAACGCAGGGACAACTATTGCTAAAAAAGTGTAGGAACCCTGTTTTCATCTTCTCTGATTTATTCAGTTTTTCTCACTGCTCATGTTGAGAGGTAAAAAATATGTTCCTCCCAAAAGCTTTACTCTTTTCACCTCCCACTTTCTGGCAGCGCAGCAGAGGTCAAGACCTGCTCTTGGCCTTTATGTTGACCTCTGGCTTTTTGTCTTCCATGACCTCTGAACCTACTGCCACTGAGTGTGACCTGTTCCTGGGAGGCCCTAGATGTCATGTTGTTTTTCTTCATTAGCAGGCGCGCAGTGGCCTCTTAGTGACAACCTCCTCCCTCCCTCGCTCTCTCACACACACTCACACTTCCATTTCTCTCTCATTTTTAGACTTATTACCATCACATACACTCAAATTAGTAAGGGCCCACCCACAGAGAAAGGCTGCCTATTTCTAAAACTATTAGAACCATAGTGTGTTTGTGTGTGTGTGTGTGTGTGTGTGTGTGTTGAGGTGGAGGCTGTGGAGTGTGTGGTTGTGTTACAGTGGCAGACACACAGATTGTTAGGCATGTTGGGGAGTCAGGAGTAAAAGCCTCTGATAGGAAGTGAACATCCATCATCAGGGATGAACAAGAGCCTGTTTATAAACACTCCATACTGGGAATTTCTTAATGAGACAAGTTTTTTATAACCCAGGAGGAGAGGGGGGGTCTCCTGTGGCTAAGGTTGTTGGTTTAACTCCCTTGTGAACCTAAAGACTTTTAAAAAAGAGTTTTTTTCCTAATAGAGCTATGAAATATTTGTTATTTCAAGTTACTAATTTCTTTTCACCTCAGTTTCGATGGGACTTGCAGACAAGACCAACGGTGCAAACAGGAAGACTGCCAAAAAGTTGAAAAATCCCCAGAAAGATGACATTGAAAGTGCTGCTCTGATATTCTGAAAAGGATCTTGTTCCTCCAAAGCACACACTAAAGGCAACTTTCTATTGAATTCCATTTACTTTGTGTGTGTGCAGGCAGAGCTGCAGTCTGAGCAGACACCCAGACGCTTGTCGTAGCAGGAAGGCTCATCACTGGTGAGTCTACAGTCTCTGTTCATCACTGACCAACTCTAACATATTGACTGACACGTGTAATGCAGAGGATTTGAAAGTGTCAACACTACATTAAAAGATTCCTCGTTACATTGATGTATTTATGAAGTGGTCCAATATCCAGTAATCACCTGTTTGACTTTAGAGGTTTTTGTTTTTTTGCTGTGATTCAGAAGAATTGATTTAAAATCCTTAAATGTAATTATTGCACATCTTATATGACGTAGAGTCCTGCAGGCTGTGGTTTTTGTATAAAAATCTATGTATGTAATTGAACCACAAATGTCCAAAGTGTGGCATGTGGGCCAGTGCTTTAATGATTGCAAAAGTTGTCAGATTTTAGATAATAAAGTGTTGTGTTAACACAAGTGTCCAGCATCTTTGACAGTTTAATCCTTATATTTTCATAATTAGATTTATTTGATTAGAGTTTTCAACCCTGAAAAATTAACCATTGCAAATGGAAACCCTGCTTGCAAAAGTTAGACTTAAAGGGTGACTGTATAAAGAGAAATAGATTTCTTGTATTCACAAAATATATCTTTTTTTTAACTTTAAATTTGTATTGTTGGTTTTACTCGACTAAACAAAGATAATAGTTATAATAATGACTGGTAAATGTTATTCAATTAATTACTATGTTTAGATGACTAAAGTTTTATTGTCTGCCAAAAAAAACCTGTATTTTTTAGTGTTAATGACTCATGGCATCTCTTAGATGTATAAAACTTAAGAAATCACAAGCAACATGTCATGACACGTAGTATTTGATAAAACAGAGGACAAATAAGCAAACCAAACTCCAGCTCCGATCCCTCATTAATCTGTAAAACACAGACATTTGTCTTTAAACAAACTCTAACAGGGAACATAACCAACAGTAGACCATTTACAATCCTTCTCATGATTCCCCGATATTCCGTGACTGCTCTCACACATATGCTCAGACATAATGTATGGACCTTACTCACGGAATCCCGAGGTCACTTTACCGTGAGCGTCAGCTCCAGTGACCATCAGTAAACACTGAGGGTCGTTATGGAGCCGCGGCTACCAGCCGCGCAGTAGTCATGAGATAAAGAGACGAGTCAGCCGCCGAGTGAAGAAGGCCTGTGGGGATTTACGACGTGCCGGATTTATCTGCAGGATTTTCCTGTGAGTGATTCAGGACTAATGAGTTGAAGAGTTTGGACATGCCATCAGCTTGTTTTCTTTGGTCTGAATCACGGAGGATAAATGGACTCCAGTCGTAGGCTCTGTGTTTGTGTTCCAGTGTTCAGTAAAACAAATCGTCAGGCATTTGGTGCAAAGAAAATGAACTCAATTATTGTAATTCTTGTAAACAATCCTTACAATCTCCCACAAATCTCCCCCTTTGGCTCTCTCTTGCCTTTTGTGACATTCGTCTCCTCATATCCAGGCACGTATCCAACAAAGTGTCCAGTCGTGTGACACCTCCAGAAGATTCACAGTGACATCTGCTCCGGCTCATATATTGTGCTCATCGTTTAGTGTCACTATCCGCGCTCCCTGCTCTCCTTCTACTCCCCAGAGGTCAGAGACGGTTGGACCGATGGCTAACTCTGCCACGTACAGTAGAGGAGACGGGTCATGAGACGAAGAGCTTGTTACAGACAAACAGCCAACTCAGAGTAATAAATACAGTTGTGAACAAAAATAACCCCCACCTCGCAAAGAAATATTTACAAAATACTTCATAGGATATCGTTATCAAAGCAACAAACTTTACAAACTTCGACAAGATTAAAATACCTACTACAGTCAGAATGATTAACCGTGTGGATGCGGAAGTTAAAAGTCATTTTTAGTTCCGAGGAGTTTTATTTTTAGTTAGTTAGATAGTTATACATTTCTGAAGAGTTCCATCAGTAGTTTAGAGATAGAACGATGATGGAACTGATGGTACTGAGGTTACTGAATGGATGTATGTTTGAATTTCTACCCATTAAAACAGAGTGCAGCTTCTTACAGTTCCTGTAATGAGTTAGTGAAAGTGATGATACGTAGGTTGGAGGACAGGGTTCATCCCCAGTTAGCACGCTGCCTGTCACACAGCCCAGCTCACTCAGAGGAGTCACTCCTCTACTCTGACAGGCTCTGCTCAGCCTGTCTGTGGGGGAGGACCAGGTCCTGGGGCCACTTTAAATCTCACCACTGTCCAATATTAACTGCAGCACAAACAGGAGTGTGGTAAACAAAGGGCAGAGTAAACACACTCCCTAAGACTGGTGGGCAAACACACACACGTGTTTATGCAGTGCAGACCCTGATAATACACATAATATTTCAAATTAAACACAAACGTAGGAACAGACTGCAGTGGTCCGTCAGATTGAACCTCCTCAGATTCGTATTCAGTCAAGGAAGGAGTTTGTGTATCTATTGAGAACAGATACAGCAGCAGGTCTTCAGACAAACGGTGAAGCAGAAATCGTCCAATCCTAATATATTTACATACAGTAACTACTCTCATTATTGCCCTTTCCATTATTTTATAAACAGTTGGTTATGTTTCAGGCCTATCGGAAAATGTTTACATGTTGTTTTTTGACCCGGTATTTTTTAGTGGCAACAAAAAAATCTCCTTAAAACTATGGCTTTCATGATATCAGTTCAAACATTGTTTACGTCTTTCAGTAAAAGGTTATTTTAGTCTAATTTACTAAACTGTCTCCTTCTAATCAATATTTTCAGTCATATCAATTTTAAGAAATGAAATGGTCACATTTAAATCACAGTTAACTGCACTAATTAAACTGACTTATTTACCAGTGGTGAAATTTAAATGTCCCAGTCCGGCTGTAATGAAACCCTGACTTGTGATTCCACTAAAAATGTCCTGATTGACAGCTGTGCCCTCTGACCTATTTTCATGTCAGACCTCTGTTCAAATACGTACATTTATCAATCTGTCTTTTTTGTCATCCAGGTCCAGCTGTTTGGACCAGTGTCCTATCTCTGTTCGTCCTGGGTGTCCCCCTCGCTCCCAGAGGGCGGCTGAGACCTCCCTCTTCTCCTGCAGCACGTCAGACCAAGAGCCTCAGACCAAGAGCCTCAGCTGCAACTTTTCCTCTTGGCTTTTTAAAAATAGTTTGGGACAGCTAAGAGACCTGAACTCATCTTGGGGATTGTAGAATGTCACTGCACTCCCCAGATCCCTCATAGATTCCACTATATCATTTGGATGTGTGTGTGTGTGTGTGTGTTTGTGTAGATAGACCCAGGGTTTGCTGAAGATCTTCTGTCCAGATGAGAGAGTGGACGGACCTGGAGATGAGCTTTTCAGCCGGGGCTTTTCTCTCTGCCTCTGAGGGGTACTGTTCCACCGAGCAGCTCCAGTACTACGGTGAGTCCAAGGGGACACATGTCTCTTTTCACACCTGTCCTGATCTAGTCTTCTGAAAATAAGTGCACTGTCTCTACGACATCGTTACATTTCATATGTGCTAGCGGTTAATGATTGAACGTTGTCGTGTTGAACCTTGGCTTTCAGTAACATGATGAAACAGAAAACTAAAATAATTGGTGTAGTTTTGTTTTCTGCTGTGGTAAAATGAGATTAAAAAAAACACAAACAATTGTCTTAGCTTTGACTACTGTTTTCCTATTGAAATTAATTCAATAATTGATTTGGGAACTTACATTCATATATTTCTTTTTAACTGTGATCTGTACATTTGACTAAAGACTAAAGTGTTTTATATAATATTCTAAAACTGTTCATGCTGATGATACTATAACCCCCTGTTGCAGAGATCAGAATCTCAAGTATATGTCAAATTAAAAAAGAAAATCTCACTTTTCTCAATCAGATGTGTGATCTTTGTGAACTGCTAACTAACTAACTAACTAACTAACTAACTAACTAACTAACTAACTAACTAACTATCTAATTAAAATTAAGTTGCAAGATAATTCATTTTCTTCATTTTTGGTATACAGCTGTTGTAGTCAGACAATTTTCAAAATGAAAAGGTTTGTTTAGTGGTTGATGTTAAATCTCCTTTTTACAAGTTGATGATGCTGTAGACAAAGTTAAAATGATGCTTGTCTGAGCACACAGCACAAAAGCCTGCGTTGGAGGATATATCTACTGTATAAGGATTTTCCCCCGGCCCCAAGAACAAGAGTGGGGAGGGAACAGTGGGGTGGGGGTGACATTGGTGTAAGAGGCTTAATGGGGGGTCAGTTTGCTGGTGTTGTTTTGCTTCCTTGCATGCGTGGGATGTCGGGGAGGCTGCGGAGTGTTTAGACAGCGTTCACATGGTTTACAAACAGTGTGAACCACAGCTCTGTCACACGCCAAGGCAGCCGTCCCCCTCCCCTCACCCACTCTCCGCCTCATCTACACCCAAACAGCCAACCATTGCTGTCGTAGTCTGGTAAAGATGGGAAACATCTGGACAGAGAAGACAACAGTTTGGTTGATGATAAAATCCACCGGCCAACTGAACTGATGTATTAATTATTATTTATTGACAGAAATGGAATTCACCTCAGGTTTTAGTTTTAGATCAACAATGTGGTGAGGGACTGAGGGACAAGAGTAACAAATCCTACCACTGTAGGTTTATGTTGACCTTCTGCACATCATCTAAATCAGCGGTCCTCAACCATTTTTATACCAAACCGTTTATCAGCCGTTACTGTGACTGCTAATACCACGCCATCGTTGAAGGATCATTTAATTTTCAAAATAAAACATCTTTTAGACTTTATTCTGTTAGTATTTGAGTCAGAATGACCTGTTGTGTAGGGACATTGACAGATTATCTTTGAATGAAAAAAGTAAAGAGATATGACTGAATAATGAAGTAAATTAGTTAAACATTTTTAGTAAATTAGTAAACTTTTTCCCTGTGTCCCACTACAGGTCAGTACCTACAGACTGGCACCTTGTGAAATATTAAAAAGCCCAACGGGCTGCATCCGGCCCCCGGGCCATAGTTTGCCCATGCCATCTAGGATCTAGTAAGAGAGGATAATGTGGGCTGAGCTGTCAGTAGAGGAGAAGAGG